GGGTAAAGTTCCAATGCCCCATGACCTGCAGCCAGAGGATTATACATACTGGAACAGGCATGACTTAAAGAACTGTCTCCAATCTGAACGGAAGGTCCCTTTGTAAGGTACTCTTAACTAGACCATACACACCAAAGCTGAAGGAAACGGACTGTCAGATTCATTTCCTATCAGGAACAGCCCTTGCAGTGAACTGGCCTATAGAGCACTGCTCACCTTAAAACAATGTCCAAATGGAGAAAAAGCTACCAGGCCAGGATGAGAAGAAGATGACATCTGAGCTAGACAGCTGACCCAAGACACCGGAACAGGCCTGTATACCAATTACTTTGATAATTTCTCCAACCTTTGATTATGAACTACTCCAATTGTTAAGTTTATGATAAATTACCTATGTCTAGTACTTCTGTGTTACCTTGGAGGGTTTCCCTACTCCAAGGCTCTAACAAGATAGCCCTCAGAAATGTTATTCTCAAAAGAAATTATAGTTCTCTTTAGGCCACTGTTCATCTTACAAGGTGGGAGACTTCACCTGGCCAATTAATACCTGCTCTGACCCTGACCATAAATATGAACTTTCTCATAAGATCAAACTCAATCAGAAACACAAGCAAAATTTTAACCCCAAAATACAACTTCTCGACTATTAAATTCTTACTCGTGACTTTATTAACGTTACTAGCTGTATTATTTATAGCCTGTCTATTTTATAAAATTGTTGTCTGTTAATTTCCCAATGTGTAACTAGGCCTACAAGATTGATGATGGCTAAATATCTTGAAGAAACAGATAAAATTTATAACCCTGAATAAAATAAATATAATAGTGTGATTATAGGTATGGGAATGAGCAATGAAGGGTAAACATTTCCTGGATCATAATAGACTAGTAAGACAGATGATCCAGAGAACTTTTAGTATCAACAGGGTCTGATAAAAAAACTAACGCCTTGAATGGCAACTCAGAAGATTCTTCATCTGAACTACGAATGAGCGATCCTAGCACAGTGGGACAAAATTGGTCATGAAATGTATCTCAAAATATTGGTCGAATTTAGGACCAAGGGGAGCACTGTGAATGAAAATGCTACAATGTGAATGAAAATACTGCAACCATGTCAGTAAACAAAGAATGGTGAATCCAAGTCATCAGCGGCTGCTGCCAACCCCCAGTGAGGACATGCGTGCAGCCTGGCCTCTCAGCCACTCACAGAGGTGCCCTCTGAGCGGACTCAGAGTAAGAAAGGACAGGATACTGGCCCTAGATAGCCAGGGGCTTGCCAAAGGAATGAATTCAATGACCCAAATGTTTGCTTCCCACCATACATAGAAAAGCACTAAATACATGAACTTGAGATATCTGGTTTTCTTTAGATAACAAGCAATATTTTATTGTTCCAATTACCTGGTCTTTGTTGTAAAGCTTCTATATATCCTAGCTCCTCCCCTACCTCATGGGAGCAGTCCCTCAGAGTGATCTGAGAGGCTGTCATCCCGGCTCGAGTCCTCCAGCCAAATAAAACAATGCCCTTAACATTTAGGCTGAACGTTTATTTCAATGAAGTCCCAGAAAAGACACAACACATCAATTCTGTAATGGAACACACTGAATCAGGAATCAAAAGCGTGTTCTAGTCTGGAAAAACTCCGGGTTCCTATTTCTTCCTGTCATTATACAATCGCACCAGAACTCATTACTTTGCTGTCTGCTCCTCTGGCAACCAAACTCAGAGAGGAGTCAACTCAGCAAAGCGCCCTGCTGGGGAGAACCCCCTACAGCAGCACTGCAGGCTACCTGCCCTCCCGCATGCACTGCTGACCCCTAGTGTCCTCCGTGGAGACCAGGCCAACAGAGTTGTTCCCAACAGCTGCAAAGTCCCACATGTTAAATAAAAACATTTTATTTTATACGATATGTTACTTATATAACCATCTCTGAAAACAAATTTGCCAGGAGCCCAAATCTTCAACATTAATCTGCAAAGGCAAATCCGGTCCCCAAGGGAAAACAAGTCTTAAGACGATGCTAAGGCCTCCAAAGTCCCCTCCACGACCATCAACCAAACTGCCCGCAGGTCTGCAGCTGCAGGTGGCTACATGTCTGTTTTTAAAGCAACCCTTTCCTGCCCTCGGGAATTACAATGTCCCTCTACGCTCTCCCATCTCAGGGTAAGAGCAGCTGCTGCAGAACCTTGCAGGGCAGCACTGACAGGACTGGACACAGAGGATCAGAGCTAAACTAAGACTTCTGATGAGACGAGCTTGTCACTCTGTCACTTTACAGATGAAGATATATATATAGAGAGAGGTGGGGTGATATTGCTCAAAGTCACACAGATAATAAGTGACAAAGTCTATAACTCTGCTCCTCCCTCGTGCGTGACGCCCCAGCTGGGACGCCCACAGGGTTCTCTTGTGCCTGCCTGACCAGTCCTTTCCTGTCACTCATGACCCACCACAGGGTCTGATCTTAGCCTGCATTTTCAGCATCTGTTCCCTCCAGTTTCTCAGGAACAAGGCTGTTCGGGCCACTGTATGAATTCTGGCTCCAGGAAACCTCCGTGCTCAGGCTGGTCTTGCCTGTGCATCCGGCCTCCTGCTCAGAGGCTCTTCCTCCCCTGCAGGAGGACGTTTCCCCTCTCCACAGGGACACCCCCTCAGGGGAGCCCTCTTCTCGCCCTCAGCACGGCATGTGTCCCAGGCCACATCCTGAGCTGCCCCATTAGGACTGCGGGTGCCCAGGTCTGCTAATCAGACCAGCAGCCTCAGAGCCAGGAATTATGCCCAGGTCACCCTGCAAACCTACTGCCCGCCTCACAGCCCCCAGCCAGGAGGTCACCTGGAAGTCACAGCAAGTGCCCCACCCAATCCAGAAGCCTCTTCATTTGCCAGCACCGCTGATGACTGGTTTCCAACCTTTGGTCAGTTTCACACAAAACAGCACCATCTAGTGTGAAGCGGATGATTTTCGCTTCTGCTCCGCATCCTTACTGGAAACGTTAAGGAAACCAAAAAGGCCTTTTCTCAACCCTTTTCTGATGACACCCTCCCACCCACAATACTCTCATGTTCAAGAGCTTTGGATCCACGTGATTTTGTTTCCCTTACGCTAAGTGGCTCAAAACACTGCGGGATTCTTTCTCTTTTGAGGGTATTTGTACTCAGTTTCTCGGCTTTAATCTGTTTTTGTCTCTCTCTTCCATATCTCAAGCAGTATAACCTCTTCTTACTCCCTTCAGCAGCCTCCCTCCCAACATCTAGTCTAGGAAATCAGCTGTGATGAGGGGCCCTGGGGCAGTCACAGAAGATGCAACTAAGGCACAGAGAGGCTACATAATTTGCCGAAGAAATCACCTTCAACCCCCAACAGAGTGTGTCACAACCCTCTTTTTAACTCTTATGCTAAGCAAGTTAATTTTTTGTAGATTATGTTTATAAACAGATGAGGTATCAAAATACATACAAGGACACACATCAACTGTATGATGTTCATTAACTCCACTATTTTGTTTCTATTCAATTTATTTCTATTAAAAAAATTAAGAACCCCTACAGTCAATATAGCAAAATGTTACAGGGTTTTAAATCCAGAATATAGAGGGGTTCAGTGTGTCATTACTCATCCTTATTTGTATGTTCACAAGACAAAATGATTTGAAAGTCTCTCTCCCCTCCCCCTACTCACTACTGGCTCTCACCTGAGCTCCCAGACCACACATCTAACAGCCTTTAAATTTACCCACAGCTGAACTCCTCAGTTTTCCCCCAGAACTCCGTCTGCAGCTTTCCCTCCTCAGAACACAGCGGGACCATCATTTACCTCATTAATCCACCCAGAAACCTGGGTCTTACTCCATCCTACCTTCACAAACAGCATTCATCCTTTCCTTTTTACCATCTAAACATGCCTTCAATCTGTTCGCTTTTACCCACTGACCATCCCACCGCTCAAGTGGAAGCCACCAACACTGCCCACCTGGACTCACGAGTCTCCCAATTGGCCCAACAGTCACTCTCCCCTTCTTGAGACAAATGGGATTGTTTCCCTCCAGCGCTTTTTGGACTCTTTTCAAACCCACTGTTCTTAGAAGAAACTCCAATTTCTTCACCTGGTGAAGGTCTTTGCCATGAAAACTGTCAGCTCAGGGAGGGCAGGACACGCCGTCTTCCCTCGGACCCACCCTCTGGCAGAGCATGAACTTGGGAGGACCTGCTGAGCTACACCAGCCTGTATTCTGAATCTGGTCTTGAGATCTTAGCAAACTGCTTCACTTATCCATACAAATCCAATGTAGATTAGAAAGATTTTAGATGTTGAGCTAGACTATTGATTTGGCAATTTTGCACTAGCAACCTGCAAGTATATGTTCTAATGAATCTGTCTTCTTAAAAACACACCCAGATTTAAGTAGTATTTGTGGAATGTCTTCAGAGTAAAGGGGACTGTACTTTTACAGACTTTATGTTTTATAACATGAGCAACCCGGACAGGGTCACAAATGGAACTGCCTCACAAGTGACAGAAGACAAGAGATAGGCATATAGCAACAGGTCACAAAGATTGTAAGAGCAAAGTTGTTTCTCCAACCCCCGAAAAAATTCCTCTAAGAACCAAAAAATCTGAATTTTGAAAGTAAAATACTATCATATAAAGAAATAAAATAAATAATCATCTTCATCAGGGTTTCAAAATCTGACTGCAGAGTTTTTAGCAAGCCATACTGAATCCTAGCACAGAAAAATCAGATGGACTAGTGATGAGTAATTTCCAGGAAAACGGCAGTAATTCCTCCACTTGTAAGAGGACACACACTCACTTGTCGAAGATGATTGTAAACCACATTCTGCTGAAATTCAGAAGATTCAAACACCACTTCTAGATTGTGATGACACGGAAGGACGGCTT